ATATCTTTATGCAATTTATATTCGAGTGGTTTTTCGATAGTTGAACCTTTAAAGTTACTTTGAAAAAAGGCTTTTTTAATAAATATTAAAGTAATAAAAAATAATAAGAGCTTAAAAATAGTATCTTTAGGTATAAGATATTAAAAATTTCTAAGTAGTCTTTCCACTTTTCAAGTCATTGTTGGTTTTATTAACTATCAAGTTTAAACTTAAGCGAAAGTTTTTCCTTCTATATATTCAGCTGTCGATTCTTTGCAGTTTTTGCCGTCATTTCGGTAGTGTTTTTTATATGAATATGTAAGAGCATTTTATTTTTTACTTGTGTGTGTGTGTTTGTGTACCGCCGATGACGATGGCGGCACCCAAAGCGCTCATAAATCAAAAAAAGCTGTTGTTTGCTTACAGGCAGCTAGCCACCCACCGTACAACCGCCCGTCCGTCTCTGGTCCCGCACTTTTGTGTGTTTGTGTGATGTCTGTATAAATCACAAAGCATGTCCTTTGCCAATACAAACACAATTGAGCATGCATATGCAACAGCAGCCAGAGAAAGACAGAGAAGGGAGAACAAAAAGTAGTCAAAGAAATTGCGTAAAAAATTTGATTAAAAAGTTTGTCGCCGTCGATGGGTGTTGGTGTGTCCTCTGCCTGTGCCTGTGCCATTGCCTGTGCCTGTATGTGTATGTGTAGCTGTCACAGACACACTCCCGACACTCGACCGGCCATTGTGCTTATCGATACGCGGCCATTGCCATTCGAACTCCCCGATTTCTCAGCCTCGTGATCATGTTATAAATCTTTCAAAAGCCAAACAAACCGGGCAAGAATTCAATTTTACAAACTGACAACTGAGACAGGGCACAGACCGCAAAAGAAACTTACCCAACGAGGTGCAGATGGTAAATACAGTTCAGTTCAAGGTTTTATTAAAAATTTTAAAAGAAAAAAATGTCCACAAAAATAAGCTAAAGCTTTGATTAAAATCGGTATACTTATAATTAGTCAAGAAACGTTTGTCAGAAACCTCGTCAATTGCCAAATGTTTCTATGTGTTTTCTGCGGCAAACTAATTAGAATGGAAATGTGGGAAAAACTTTCTCCAAAACTCACAACCCACACAGCTTCAGTTTTGTTGGCCGTGTCACACCTGTCGTATGCGCAATTAAAAGTTTGCTTTCACTTCGATGTTCCTTCTTTTTTTTCAGATTTAGTTTTTTTCGTTTTGGAAAATGTAATTGTCATTTATAGAAAATGTTGAACGTTGAGCACGATCCGTCCTTGCGCTCATTTGGGAGTGTGCTCGTGTGGGTACTGTGCATGCTCTAATGAAATTAGCATTGTTAGACTGGGCGAAAAGAGAATGAAAATGGAAGAACTTTCAGTTTTTAGCCCTATTGCAGCAAGTTCAAGGTTTCGCACCCACACTCACAAAAGGGATTGTGGCAAATGCGGCGCTAACAAGCATTTTCCTAGTCATATCCACAAAGGAAATAGGTTTTCCGTTGCATTTGTTACAGAAAAAGAGCACACAAAGAGATAAAGAAGGGGCAAGCAAGCAGAAGGCGAACAAAAAATGGCTTTGTGTTGTAGCACATCCGAAAACCAAAGCTTAGGCTGGCCAAATGTGGTGGGAAATCACGTTGCAGCCTTGAAATAGAAACTGAGTTAGGAAAAAAAAGGGGAAGCCACGGCGTCCAAGCAAAATTTTGACCGAAACTATGCAATGTCAAATGACAGCCGCCTTGCAGGTGGCCAGGAAGTCATGTTAGTAAATGGGCAAGGCTTTGCTTTGGCAGACTTTCTGCTCACAGCTTTGGGATAGAATCGAAAAAGTAGTTAGTTAAACTTTTAAGCCTGTCGGTGTGAGAGGCCAAGGATGCGAAGTAGAAAGTGAACAAATTTTTTGACAAATCGTTAAGAACAAACGGGCAGCCATAAAACCACATTCATATTGCAAAATGTTTTCCACCAACTGCAGTTTTTGTAGTGAGAACTTGCGAATTTGGCATGTGAAGGACTTTATGAACATATGTGCCAATAATTATCCGATTCTCGAGCGGAATACCACAAAGTTTATGGTGAAGAAGCTCCATACGCTAATCAATCTACTCTTACAACTGCTGAAGATACTGGAAGATTACTGTAACCCACCCCAAAGTCTATACCTTGGAAAATAATTATCAGATTCTTGAGCGGAGTATCTTAATAGATTTGTGGGTCGATTTTGCATAAAACTGCATTAAAATCCAGGAAAAAATACTTTTTAGATTTTTTTGTAAATATTTTCTGGATAGACCCGTCAAAAATGTGGGAATGCATAAGAGGTCAATATGGCCCTCACCGAAAGCCATATCTTTGCCAAAAGTCACCCGATTCTTAAGCGGAATACCTTAAATCATTTGTGAATCGATTCTAATAATAATTTTTCAGATTTTTTGCCAAATTTTCCGGAGGGTCCCCTATAAAATTCTGAAAAATGCATAAAAGCCCACAATGGCCCCCATCGATGGCTATATCTTGGCCAATTCTTGAGCGGCATACCTTAAACGATTTCTAGATTGATTCTTCATCAATCTGCATTAAAATCTACATACAAATAATTTTTCAGATTTTTTGTCAAAATTTCTGGACAGACCCCTTCAAAAATGGGGGAAATGCATGAGAGGTCAATATGGCCCACATCGAAAGTTATATCTTTGCCAAAAGTCATCCGATTCTGGAGCGACATACCTTAAACGATTTGTGAATCGATTCTTTATAAATCTGCATCAAAATCTAGAAACAGATAATTTTTAATATTTTTTGTCAAAAATTTTCCAGAGAATCCTCTATAAAAGGCTGAAAATGGATGGGCTATAGGCTATATCTTTGTAAATATTCATCCGATTCTTGAGGGAAATGTCGTAAACGATTAGTAGATCGATTCTGCATAAATCTCCGTTTAAATCCAAATACAAAATATTTTTTATATTTTTTGATAAATTTCCTTGGCGATCCCCTTCAAAATGCTGAAAATGCATAGAAAGGACACCCCGAAGGCTATAACTTCGCCAATTATTATCCGATTCATAAGCATAAGGCCTGCTTTTATTTTCCAATATAGCAACACCTATATTTTAATTTATTTAATTTGAAAAAAAGTTTAAAAGTTGACGATGGAGTGTTCTGTCGTTTGCAGCCTTGATGCTTCGTCAGCCTCTTTGGCTCTTTTTTGAGCACCCTGCTGTCCGTCCTTGACTGCAATTGCTGGATATGTAAATAAATACGTGGATTCGTCAACTGTTTGAGACCCAACTTGTCGCCCACTCACACATTCCATTCTGTCTTAAGCACACGAATCAGTTTATAGGTGAAAGCTTTCTCCGGGCCCCCTCCGGTGTGTGTGTGTGTGTATACGAGTGGGGAAGTGTAGTAATTGAAATCGCATCCAGACGTGAAATGAAACGTAAAGTCATCGAATCAATTCAAATGAAAATTAAATTAAATGCATGCGCTCATACATTTATTCATATTCCGGCGACTCTGGCTCAAAAGCACACGCCGGCACGAAAACTCGCACACTGACGTGAACTCGAATCTTAATTAAACACGGATACGCATATTGAGTTTCTTGAAAGGCAAAAGCAATCGCCTGACTTCTTTGGCCGTGTGAGTGAAAAGGGCCTGCCCTTTCATCGAAAATGGTTGCAAAGCCTTTGCGCCACGATTTTGTCTTTCAGCAACAATTTTTAACCATACACATGTGTGTACATATGTATAAAGAGGAGAGTATTCATAATAAGCAAAAATATGGAATATGGTCAGGATGCAAATAAAAATAATTAAATTAATAAAAAGTAAGTGATTTTGGATTGCATTACTCATCTAACTATTACCAATCTATCAAAATTTAATCTTTTTGCTTTTTTTTCAAAAGTAAGGCTCAGTGCTAGCGAAAAATTTGTCGGTTGTGCCTTATCATTACAAGGAGTTCTTGTATGTAGGCTTAATGGCTCCTTGGCATGCTTTCGACCCTCACACACGGGCTTTTCAACTTTTCCGTGAGGAAAACTTTCCTGGCACTGGCCAAGGACAACTTTGTTCAGCTGTTTCTCAGCCTTAATTCATTTTACAATTCTACTTATTTGATTATTTTTAATTTTATTAACTTGTACTCTGACCGCATGAGTTTGTTGGCTTTACAAATACCTATTTATTTTAATTTCTCAATACATATATGCTTTTGATTTATGGAATATTTTCCTAGCAAAATGATTGATTGATTGATTGATCGATGGGCAAACGAGTGGCTGAGTGTATGTCTTTGAAGTACGGCATTTTTGGTATGAGTCGAGACCAAAGTAAAGCAGATGTTAATTGAGCGTGAAGTTTTGCCAGCTTTCTGGGCTCTGAAATTCATGCGAGCATGTGTCAAGCCAGCAGACGAAAACCGCAGCCTCGCCAAATTCAAATGAATTTTATTATATAGAATTGGTTTTAAGAGCCTCGTCTTTGGGAGACATTTCAGAATAATTGTGTGTGCTGTAGTGGCTTTTTTTATCTAGGCAATCAATTCCAAATGCAATGAAATTCCAGAAATTACTTTAATTCACGATGAAGTCGCAAAAACGATAACCGGAACGAAAGGGAAAGGTGAATCTGAGGAAATCTAATAAAGCCGCCTGGCCATCAGCAAATCGAATTGAAGCTCATCCAATCGTCGAAAAAATGTATGGCATATGCACACGATGTTGATGTGGTCCTCGAGTCCTTGCTCAGGTAATGTCATTTAGAGGCCAATAGCATTTTCTCCACGAGTCCACCGCATTCACATGACCGCACAATTTACGTAGAACTTTAAGCTCCACAACAATAATCATAACGTTTCCAAATAGTTTTTAAAGAGAATAATATTTAGTATATATTATTTCTCAAATAAAAAACATGTATATAAAAGTTATTTCGCAAAGAAAAACTTTCTCAAACGTTCTACTCTAAAAAAGTAAAACAATAAGGCTTTGCCCCAAACAATTTTTATTCAAGCTATTGACACATATCTACAGAATTTATTTTAATAACTAAACTGTAAAATTTTGTATCAAAAATGTACGCAAGGTGAGTAGTGATCGAGCCCTGATATCGTGGTTAAAGAGATGCACTTAATAAAATCCAACAGTTGCCATGTGTCAAGAGGTCTAAAACAGTGTAGCCCGCTTATAAGACAGCTCGTGATTCAGAAACCACTTATGCGGACTAGGATACCTTTAAAGCTGGCTGTTCGGGGAATGGCTGCCAAGGATTCTAAGGGAGAAGGCAAAGGAAGTGCAGGAAACGGACCTGCTATTGTAGGTCCAGGTGGTAATGTCATTACACCGCCAGTCACACTGAAAGTTATTCCCGCCCGGGATCCACTGAAATTGGGCTACGACGATCGCAATATGATTCTGGGCCGGGCGCTAGCTCCACATTTGACCATATACAAGCTACAATTGACATCTGGGCTGTCAATATGCCTTCGAATCAGTGGCTTTGTCCTGGGGGTGTTCGTTTGGGCACTGGGAATATCCGCACTCTTTTGCCAGGGAAATATGGAAGGATTTTTGACTAAGCTCCAGGATTGTGATTGTGGCACGCTTCTGACATTATCTAAGGTGATGGTAGCTATACCATTCGCATACCATTTGGTCGCAGGAACGCGCCACTTAATCTGGTATCTGAATGTTTTTACCACGATTTCGGAAGTGTACGCAACTGGTTATGTGGCTATGGTATTAGCTGTTTTATTAGCCGTTGGATTGATGAAAGCCCAGTCTTCTGAGCCGGAGCCCGAGGTTGTAGATCTAACAAAGGGGAAAAAAGGCCAAAAGGTGGATCCAAAAAAGAATGCGAAGGCTGACCCCAAGAAACCTGACCCCAAAGCTAAAGCCGACCCAAAAGGTAAAGCAGACCCAAAAGGTAAAGCCGACCCAAAGAAAGACCCCAAAAAGCAAGATTCCAAATAAACCAAGCCATGGCTGATAATGTGTAATGATGTAATATAGATTTGTTCCTTGTGGTTAACTAGGAATTCAGATTAACTTCAAAATTTTAATGTAATCTGTACTGTAAAATCATTTCATGAAATAAATATATATTTGCTTGTGAAAAAAGGAGCAACTTATAAATGGGAAATTAATATACTTTTCTGATTGCGTTCAAGTTCATCGTTAGAAGCACTTATAAGCAAATTATAGTTAAGGTAAGCAAATGAAATCAAGTGAAATATTAAGAAATTAGCCTAGGGAGAATTTCCAGGCCTGGCCATGCCAACTTTAGGTCAAAGATGGTAATTAGACTCCATGAAAACTTGGTCAGACTGCATATGTATAAAGGTGTATGCTTTAGCCATCATAAAAATATTCCACATACAAAAAATGGTTCAAAATTCAATGTAGAAGTAATTAATGTTGAGGAGTTCAAAATGTGGAAACTCTTTCCAACTAACTACACCTTCTGGGAGAAAACCTTGAGGGAAAAGTAAACTTTTAAGAAGTATACTTGGCTGTTTTCTCAGTGCTCGAATCAAATTTAACACCTAAGCTTCTCGAAATATTTTCTGTGTGCGAGTAGCCTTCGGGAAAGGACACGCCCATAGGCATTTTTCCACTCCACTTGACTGTGGTCTGTGGACTGTGTGCGTGCAACAATTGTGCGGCTTGTGCAACTTGGCCAACTTTCAACTTTCAGGCCAGCCAAGTTGCACGCAATGCAGCCACAGCCAGTTGAATGAGTTCAAGGCTTTTTTGGGGTTTTCCCCTTTAATTATGAACCACTCAACGCCAGTCAAGTGTGGCTGTTGCCATTATTTTTACTCTTGTATTTTCATCCTGCTGCTATGGGTGTGCCCTCAAGTTCAAATGGGTGGAAGTGGAAGTTTTAGTTCTGTTTCGGTGTTTCTTTTTTTCTGTGCTTGGCTCAACTTGCTTGGCTTTTCTGATTTTTGTTCTTGTTACATTTGAGGCGAGGGACAGAGGGATTTGCGCCAAATGCGCCACACGACTGGACTGGGAAATCTATGCTAGACAGGCCTCATTATGCTGCTAATGGCTTGGCTCAAACTTTTACAGGTAATTATCGACACTTTGCAGGGCATTTGCTGCTTGATCGTTGTTATTGTTGCTACTGAGGTTTCTATTTTCCACTGGTCCTTCTATGCTGCTGCTGCAGTTAAAAAGTTAAGCACCGCATTCTGGGGGCAGAGATATGGCACAACAGTTTTAGCTTTTTCGTTGTTGGCTTTTCGGGTAATTAAGTGTGTGGCTAAAATATGCTTAAAGAGTTGATAACATGGCGTATGCTTGATATTTTGTCTAGGGGGCGAGGCATTTAAATGCGCTCAAGTGTTAAATGAGTTATAAAAAGTTTACTTTTCGTCCATTGTTTTCCCCCAGAAGGTGTATTTAGTTGGTCCATTGAGTGTTCTTATATGCTGGACTCTAATACATGAACTATTTTTGGGCAATAAAACAGGGAATACTGAATCGACTAATATTTATAATAGTACCTCTTATTTTCTGATTAAATTTTTAATTACCTAATGTCGCACAATGTTCCTGATTACCTTCATGAAATTCTTGAAATCGTTGAGGGAAACATCGCAGCTTTACCCCAAAATCTCCTCCTACCAGGCCATCGATACACCTTCGACCTCAAGCTCAGTAAATTTTTATGCGTGTCGCTAAAGTGCTGTGCAAATAGCCGAGCAGCGATTTTAATTGAAAAATATTTACCCACACTAAGCTCGGCAGCATTCTTGACATTTTGACGCGCGACTCATGACCCCTCTACAAAATCTATCGCGAGTTTTCCTATCAATACACAGGAAAAAAACGACAGAAGAGATGGCTTTTTTATACACAAAATAATTTAATAAATAGTGCGGGAATGCTTACCGCAGACAAAGAAAACCTTTAATTTAACGACAGAAAGAGTGTAGAAAAAGCTCACATTTTTCACAGTGTGGAATTCGGTTTAATTAGTGCTCGGCGGGTTGGCTACTTTTTGCTGCTGTGTAAACTTCAATTAATATGCGAATGAAATCCGCTTAAACAAAAGGAAAAGGCAAGAGCGAAATCGGGAGGAAAATGATGCCAATCAAGGACACTGCCATCGCCCTGCTGCCCACACTAATTCCATTTGGGCCAACTCGAGTGATTTGTGACATTTTGTCATTTTCGCTGATGCAAAGCCGACACTCGAACTGGGCGACAGAGATGGGAAGAACGTTCAAGTACACTAATTAAGATCAAACGTTTTGGGGTCCAAATGAGATTCTATCGCAGAGCCGAAACTACCCTCCATTTTAGGCCATTGTTTTATGTATATTCATATTAAAATCACATAATGAAGTGTCAGCTAAAACGACGGGCTGCCTGCCAGCCTGCCTGCCGACCCCCACGACGTCGCCCTCTCCAATCAAAGATTAACGTCAAAACTTGGGATGCGAGTGTTCAATCAAAACTCTCGAGAGCCACTCTGCCCAGGAAACTCCAAGAAGGAGACTCCCCCGTCCGCGCATTGTTGTCGCTCTTTGTAATTTATTTGGCCGCAGGCGGCCATCAAAAGGTAAGAAGTGTCTTTAAGTGGTTGCCTTGGCTCAGACGACTCATTTTGGCTCATCTCTGTGCTTAGAAAGAGCTCCCATCTCCACATTTCAGTGCAGGTCGCCTCGGTAATTAAGGGGAGGGTAAGGTATTAAATTTTTTTTTTTTCCATTTTTTTTTTATTTTTTAAATTGAATGCATAATATCTGAAGAATATTGTGTCAAAATTTCAAGTCAATTAAAGCAAAATTGACGAAGTTATTAGTTATTGACGAAGTTGCTTGCAACCGTTTTACACTGGATTTTGTTTTGTTTAAAACTTTAAAGCGTTATTCCCACAACTCACGTTTTCAAAGTCGGTGCCCCTCATAACATCAAAACTACTGCACCGATCCTTTTGAAATTTTAAACACTATTTCTGTACATATTTTACGAGGTAACGCTGTCGAGTTTTTTTTTTTGTTCATAGTTTTGATTTTGCAATGACAAATTAACCGATTTTTTCCCAAAAAATTGAGTTTTTCACTTCAAAGTCTTCGAAAAAATTAAAAAATTGCAATTTTCAAAAAACCTTTACAGCGTTACCTGGGGCGAACTATTATCTAACGAATGAATTTTCATTTTTTGATTACAAATGATCCAGCACCGAGTTATGAGGGGCACCGCAATTCAACTTTTTTTGGCGACACGTCCGGACAATTACTACCATTGCCATATTTTTAAATATTTTTTTGTACAAATTTTATTAAACATTCTTCTAATGTCATACTTTAATATACCGTTGGTTGAATAAATAAATTTTAACTGTGTCGTCAGGAAAAAAATCACAAAAACATGCCTTTTTTCGCATGATTTGACCTTACCCTCCCCTTAATGAAAAGTAGGCACTGGGACAGTTGAGGGTAACTAATTAAAGCTCCTTAATAAAGTTAATGGATTTTGCTGAAGCGACAGCGGCCGAGGGTCCAATGAGCTGTGAGTTTATTTTCCCTATTTATAGCATTTATTTTTTCTACCTTTTTGCTAATGTTTTAGAACCTTAGTTCCTTTTTTTATAATTTGACAAATAATTATGCCACCGTAGTAAATGAGCTGTAGCGTATCCTTCTCAAAGGTATGTGACTGCAGGTTACCAGCTTTCTCATTTCACAGTGAAAACCATTAAGCTTAATTTTCCCTAATGATACTACTGATAATAGTTAGAATAAAACGCAGTAATAGTTAAATAAAGTTTTCAACTTTTTGCGCCACTTTTTTTTTTTACCAACTCAACTTTGAAACTTTTCTGCATTATAAAATATTTAAGGTCACAATTTGGTTTGCTTTTTGGAAAATGCATGAGACCCCTGAAAAAACAACAGGAGTAGCAAAAATTTTACTCAGACACAAAAATTGTACTTTTCCCAACACAAATATGTCAGCTTTCGTTTTAGTAAATGGTGGAGAATTCCCGGCCCTATCAGAAACGATCTGCTAGACGGTATATGAAAAATTATATTTTTCTTGATGCAGATTTTTGTAAAGTCAAAAGCCAACTAGTGTGCTAAATCAGATTTGTTATACTTTTGAAATTTAAAAATATATATTTAAAATAATTGTTGGTTAGATGAATACATTGCTTGAATAACAAATACCAGAATTAATCAAATATATATTGAAATTTCGGTGGAAATGGTTGATTACTGTACTGGTTCCTTTCGGTGTGTGTCTGATTTTTTAACAACCGAGGGCTGAGTTCAAAATTTAAACGTACATAAATATATAAAAAGTTAATTTGAAAAAATCTCTTTTGACAGCATACAGCAGCACCAGGAAAGGAAGCGAGGTGTTGTGACGTCCCTTCTCCTCCTAGTCGCTGCCCCTGCTGCTTTTGGTCCTGTGTTCTGAGTCGCAAGTCAGTCACTCGCAGGATGCTGTCGACCTGCAGCTACACACCAATATGGCACAGTATATATGTACATAAATACATACGTACATATATATAAACGATGAAAAATGTGAAAAAAAAGATACGCGCTCTCGGAGGAGATGAAAATGTGAAACTAGAGGGTCCTGCTGTTCCTGTTCCTATTCCGGTTCCTGTTACTGCGGCTCCCCTGCTCCTGCTGTTTATATAGCCTGGTCTACGTGTATAAATAACGGTAACATTTTAAATCAGTCGAGTGACTGCAGGGAAACGCCAAAACGAAATGCTCAAACGGGTGCCAACTTCTGACAAGCCAGGCCAGCCATCCAGGCAGCCAGTCAGCCAGCCCAGAAGCATCTCGTCCGCGTTCGCATCCACAACCCAATCTTGGTATCCCCAGGAACCATTTCCTATTCAGCTCTCTCGCTGACATTGATGTGCATGTTTTCGTGTGTGTATCTGCGTAACCGCAAAAATTTCATCCTTCATACATTTCCGAGTATGTGTGTGCACTGGACTGGTCCTCCTCA